TTAATATTTTCACTTGTTGTGTATTCACATATATAATCTTAATAAATCATTTATTATTGTTAATACATTACAACTTACGAATAATTTTTTACAACTGCATTACAGAATGGAATCCAAAGAAAAATGTGAACAAATTATACAAATGTTTAATGGAAAGGCACTAACAGGCGCAAAGGATCCATTATTAGTTAAGTTCGCTGATGGCGGAAACAAAAAAAAATCGTTGTTTAAAAGTACAATATGGAGAGAGACTGGAGAGGTACGTAATTATAATATTCTATATATACAAATATCACGTATGTTGGTTAGATTAATAGGCAATTTAATGTACTTATATTTTTATTTTCTTAAATAGTAAACACAGATAGGTTATATAAATTATGTTACACCAAGTGTGATATATACTAAATATTTGATATATAGAATTTTTTGGCTTAAATACAAATCTAATCCTTTATATTATATCTCAAAAATATTTGTATATCTTAGAAACAAATCTCAAAAAAATAAATCTATCATTTTATGATCGAGAATGTGCCAATTTTTATTATTTTCATGTTCTTTTTCAGAATATGACTTTGAATTACGACACGAGTGGCGTTGGTCAGAATGGCGTTGCTACGACTCACATGCTTCCCACGACAGCTCTTACACAGTACAGTCGTCACTACAGTCAGGCATTGCCTGGTTACAGTGTGCCGGGCACTCCTTGGGTGGCTCCTTATCTCGTGCACCCTTCCCCGCCACATATGCAACAGGTCGACGTGAGTTTTTATACACTTTTCGTTCATTTTGTTTTCATTGTTTTGCACATAGAGGAGAATGTCTTTATATCGAGTTTTAGTTCAAGAATTTGTAATTTTGCATACATACATGATCGAACACGACAAATTCTGTAGATTTAATATTCAAATTGGAATATAAAATATTTGAACTAAACTCTAATGCTTTCGCTTTTAAAATAAAATTGCACTTATTCGTTGTTTTCACAGCGAGTAGAAACAATTATTTTTTAATTGAAACATTCGTATGTCTACGAAATTACTCGATTATTGTCAAATCATATTTTTGGACACGCACTATTTTTATTTACGCGTCCGATTTATGTTTTACAATGTTTTGTTTTGTTACTACTTTGTTGTTTTAAATTTTTTTATATTTTTTAAATTTTTTCTCATCGTAATGTCATAGAGATTATCATTGCTTCTGCTTCATCATCGGATTTTGTTGGTTTCTGTTACAGATGATACCATCGGCTGATCCTAGTAATCCACAATACAGTATGATTCCTCAGCTTACCACGCAAATGTCTACCTTGCACCTTGGCACTGGTTCCGTAAGTTTTTTTTTTTTTTTCGATTTTTTAACAGCTTGACACAAATGTCCGAAAGACAAAAAGTGACATCTAAATTATTTATAATATAAAAATTCTAATCTACAATATATAGAATAGATAAAAAAATTCTAATCTACAATAATATATAGAATAGATTTTGATGCTTCAGAATGTCTTAAATATTTCGATATTTAGAATGTTAAAGATTGTTTGGAGTTGATGAAGAGATTCCAGAAGTTGAGAAGTTTCTCGAACATTTGTATTTCTAGAACGAATTGCACTAGAATGATTTGCACTAATATTGACAAATGATAACTAACTGTCTTTTTATTTTTTCTTTTCAGTACATAGCGAGCCCGCATCCCTATCCTTACACAACTTATCCTGCTCCTAGCATTATTCACACTATGCCACTGGGCGAGTCGGAGCAGACGAGTAATGCAGCGTCCCCCGACGACTCCTATCAGCAGTACCAGGCTCAACAGCCTAAGTAGGCCACGGTTTATAATAGGTCAGAATTCTTTTTTCTTCTTATGCCTTACAATGCAATACTGTAGCGACTACTACTAAATTTCTTAACTCACAATAAGATGACAAACGGATATAAAGAGATTTTTCGATTTCAGATGTACGATCGCGCTAAGGGTTACGTGAATTAGGAAAGGCTTACTGATTGACTTATGAAGATATGCGCAGAAAGAGGGCAACAAATACGAAAGCGAATTACACTAAGAAGAATAGATTTGAAACAAAAACTACATTACGTAACGAATAAGATTCTTCCTCACGATAAATTGACTTGCCAGCGTTTTTATACGTTTTATCCAACAGTAAATAGAGGAAAGTAGATGATATTTTGCAACGAGTAGGCAGAGTGAATGTTGAGAGAATGTGTAAGAACGAGAGGAAATGAGCGAGCGAGAGAAAGATTATAATTGAAAGAAGTACAGGAAAATGAGTACGAAAACGATTACGTGTCGTCCGCGTGAAATGGCACGTGCTTCCATACTAGTTATGGCTCCATTAAAGCTACGTGATGGTAACACGTACACTCTTATGTACACACATACAGAGAGAGAAGGAGAGAGAGAGAGAGAGAGAGAGAGAGAAAGAGAAAGAGACATAATATACGACAGTAACGAAAAAACCAAGTTATTTACGAAGAACAATTTAGTGTCAAGCTAATAGGCTTCCATGATGTAACTTTAGGTATTATGTTTACTACGGACAGATGACAGAAGCTAATCGAATCTAATCTCGAGAGCTCGACAGTATGGATAAGTATTTTAATGAGTGAGAGCGAAAGAGAGAGAATGTACGTGTGAATGTGTTAACTATAAAGAAAAACGAGGAAAGAAGAAGAAAAAGTAATGCTCAGAAATATACAAAGAAGAATTCTTCCCGAGGAAATAATAGTAAATAATAGTAAAAAAATATACAGCAAGAACGAAAGAGGGAGAGAGAGAGAGAGAGAGTGAGTGAGTGAGAGAGAGAGAGAAAATGTGTGAAAGAGAGAAGAAAGGATGCACTACTTCCAGGACGATATTTAAGAGAAGCAATTTAGAGATTCAAAAAAGGAGATATGTATTCGAAACACACGCGAAGATTGTCTACGATAGAAACATACACCGTGTGTAACACACGTTGAGTGAATACAATTTATTTTTCGCGATAGCACTTCACTTTATCCGTTCTCTCGCGTGCAGATTACGTAAGATGCATAAAACGGACACTTACCACCGCACCCTCATCAATTTCACGTATCTTCGAGTTTTTTCCTTTTTTCATTTTCCGTTTTTATATTCAGAAACATTCCAAAAACTGGGTATATGCGCGCGTCACGCGGAGATATTTTTTTAATCAAGAATTCTGGAAGTACATTAATTTTTCTAGGCGGCATCATGCATCTCTATCGTATGCGTTTCCTTGTTTCTTTTTTTTAATGACAATGAAATTTTTTTATTGTGGATTAAATTTCGGAAACAAACCAAGAAAAGAAAAATATGATAGTAAAATTGTTTCTAAAACGAGAGCAAGGGGAAAATGCAATTTTCAGAATTTACGTATAATTATTGTACGAAATACGAAAAAAAATATGAAACAGTACTTTTTAGAGCGTTGTATTTACGATAATTACAAGTTAAAAACGGATCGATATAAATTTTTAATTGTACAGTGAATACAGATATTTTTTTTTAGAATCGTGCCTTTTCACACAGATCCGTTAAAAGAAAGGGGGAGGGGGGAGAGAGAGAGAGAGAGAGAGAGAGAGAGAGAGATTTATATATATATGCAGGAGAAAATTGTTATAATATATTTTTACGCATCGTTAAATTTGATGCGAAGCCAAATCTTAATTTTCTAATTAATATATCTGTAATTGTTTTTGTATTAAATCTCTATACATTTGTTTTCGTTGTCAATTTAATAGATTTTGTGACGCGTGATAACATTATTGAATTGGATTTTTGTCGGACTGTATTATAAAAGAAAAAGAAATAAACACACACACACACAGCACAAAGACGGTCCGTAACATAATATTTAAAAACGAGAGAAAATCTAGGAAAATCAAATCGCGACAGGTTAAGTAACAAGAATGTGAGAACAAGAAAGAGAGGGGAGGGAGGGAGAGAGAGAGAGAGAGAGAGAGAGAGAGAGAGAGAGAGAGAGAATGATTGAAAATGTGTTTGAAATAGAAAGAGATTTAAAAAAATGGTAAAAAGTAGGTTCGTTACATGATGAGAAACTAGAATGTAAATTAATTTATTTTATCGGAAGAACCGTTGTATATGTACTGTCGAGAAAGAACAGAAAGACGAAAAGTAAAAACGCATAGATGCATCGATTTACACCGTATATCACATGTATGCACGACAGATACACGCGTGTACAGACAGATCGAGGGGAGAGTAATTGAGACGACACTCTGTCATCTTTCGAGATGTCGAAATTGATGGCTGTAAATAAAATAAGTATTTGTCTAAATGATCAAATGGAAAATTCGAGGAAGATTGAACTTCCTGAGCGCTTTTGCGACCGCGCGAATAATTGTATTTACCGAAATGAGTATATTTTCTCAAGAATTTGGAAATTTGCAAAAGTAAACGCTTATATTACTTGATTTGATTAAATACCTTCGTGTTGAGTCCCGTTTCAATCGTAATTATTCTTCACGTTACAACCTGCGTCCAACGAGATCTCCATCTCTTCCCCTTCTTCTGGATGTCTCTTCTCCTATATCAATCATTATCTATCACTATCATCATCACTATTGTCATCATCACTATTGTCATCATCACTATTGTCACCATCACTATTGTCACCATCACTATTGTCACCATCATTATCATTACTATTATCATTATTTGTGCATCCAGCAGAGTTTCGCGTGTCCGACTTAGGATTGATAATTGAGAATTGAATGAAAGAGCAATAAGGAGGGAGAGAGTGTGTAGAAAAGCTTTTTACCAAAAATATGCGAGAATCGCAGACTACTCGCGCGACACACGAGAAACTGATACGAAAAAACGGCAGTGAGCAAGTAGTTAGATAGAATTTTAGTGGAGAGAGAGAGAGAGAGAGAGAGAGAGAGAGAGAGAGAGAGAGAGAGAGAGAGAGAGAGAGAGAGAGAG